TGATTGATTGATTGATTGATTGATTGATTGATTGATTGATTGATTGATATTCAGCAAGGCTTGTGCTACTTTTAACTATGCTTTTGTTACTTTTAACAAGTATTTTACTACTTTTAGCTTCTAGCTATCCTTTTGCAACTTTTAGCTATTGTTTTTATTATCTTAGCCTTAAACTAATTATCTGTTTTTTCATCTTGAACATCTCAGTTTCAACTTCAACAAATTCCCATACTTCAGTGCTTCAGCATTCACTCTCTCTAGTTTTATATTTTTACATTTTATTAATTTGATGTTTTTAGCATCAGCTGTCAGTGTGTTGTTGGCAGCAGGTAGAACCGTTTGGACCTCACATGTCTGTGTTTCCAGGAGGACGTATGTTGGTGCCATGCCTGGGAAGATCATCCAGTGTTTGAAGAAAACTAAGACCGAGAACCCCCTGGTGCTAATAGACGAGGTCAGTGCTTCAGAACCGGTCCAGAATCCTCTTGTGACTGGTGAGCCTCCCTTTTCCTCTTGTAATTCAAACCATTAGCAAAGATAAAGTTTAGTGGCCATATTGAATCTGGTTCATGCCAAAAATGAATCATAATGTTCATCCAAAGTCAAGGTCACAAATCAAGGTCAAACAAGGTCTTTGTTTGGGCCGTTGCTATAGATTGGTGTTTAACAGTTTGTTTGGCAAATAATGTACAAATTCAGTACTTTTGTTCTTTAATCTGTACAAGTACAAATACTGACATTTGAATACTTGTGGATACTGAATACTGTACGAGTAATAACAAACGCCTCTGAGCTTCTTTCAATCTCTTTGAAATTGTGTTTGAAAATCAGCGGAGCTCACCTTTTGTTAACTCCGGGTCAGTGAGAGTCACCGTGGGTGAACAGTGAGACTGTCAGGCAGCTGGTGCTCAGAGTAACCTGGGTACCTTGTCCTTCTGTCCTGACGAAGGTTTGTCTTTTTGATGTGGGTCACCCCGCTGACAGAGTCTAGTCTGGACTCGACTGATGCTCCAGCAGCCAGTAGCTGGTAAACGGACCTCTTGGTTCTTTACCTGCTGTCCTTCCTGAGGTTTCTCTTCCCTGCTGTCACCAGGTGGATAAGATCGGCCGTGGTTACCAGGGTGACCCCTCCTCTGCCCTGCTGGAGCTCCTGGACCCCGAACAGAATGCCAACTTTCTCGACCACTACCTGGATGTTCCTGTGGATCTGTCGAAGGTAAGAGAACAGATCAATTTGTTTGAGCTGAAACTGAACATCCTCACTCACGTGCTCCATTACAGGTTCTGTTTATATGCACGGCCAATGTAACCGACACCATTCCAGAACCACTCAGAGACCGGATGGAGATGATCAATGTGTCTGGATATGTGGCCCAGGAAAAACTGGCCATCGCTGAGGTAAACTCACCATCCTCTTGTTTAGTAGTATTTCTATGACAATGGCATGAACTCTTGGGTCTGTTGCTAAGATTCAGTAAGACTATAGATTTACAGTACGCAGAATTATTGTCAAATCTGAATTAAATAACAAGAAGAATCTTTCTTCATTTTTAACCCAAATCTATTTTTTTACCTGGACCACTGATGTGTCTTCATCTTACTTTTAACACGCATGTGTGTGCACACAGCTTTACCTGGTGCCTCAGCTTCGCTCACTGTGTGGCCTCAATGAGGAGAAGGTCTCACTCTCATCAGAAGCCCTCGGTCTGCTCATCAGACAGTACTGCAGAGAGTCTGGAGTGAGGAACCTGCAGAAACAAATAGAAAAGGTAAGCAACAACAAGCAGCACACCGATGTTCCCTGTCTCTGAGAGGTTTGAATAGTGAATGTTTGTGGTTTTTGAGATTAGTGTTTTTCTGGACTGGGATTGAACAGGGTAAGTAAACCTTAATGATTTTGGTGCGAGATATTCAAGAGGGTCGACTGTGTAGAAGAATAGAGGGAGGTTTTATTTCTTGTCCGAGGCAGCACAGATTGATGGATCCTGGTGAGTGGAGGGAGAAATTTTATTCACCAGGTGCAGTGGCGCATCCAGAGGGTGGACAATGGTGGTCTTTGCCACCATACATTGATCTTTGGCCATCCCAATAATTTGAGAAAATTACGCTTTTAAGCAAAATAAAAACTAGGTGGCATAATTTACTCAAGTGATGGGGTGGCCAGTTTACATAAATATATGGTGGCAGCCATCTTTAATTTTTATGTGGTAACCAATTTTCGAAAGGAATCTTTCTTACACCTAGATACAGCTATACACCAAAATGGAGGTTGGTACCTCATTTATTTTTCAAGTTATCATGCTCGCAACATGCATGGATGGTCGCTCTATGACAGAAGACAAAAGCACTTACAGGTCTGCATTCACAGGTCGCAGTAACTTTAGGAAGCCTCCCTCAGTCTGACGGCAGTCATGAGGGTGCTCCACTCTCACCAACTTCTTTCTGCATCCCAAAACTCCTTCATGGTTTCATAAATGTGTTCAACAGTACAGAGAAGTGAACGTACACTCAAAATACATGGGCAGAAACACTATCACCCATTTGCCTTCAGCAGCAGGCGATAAAACAAATTACAGAAAAGTCTGTAAATCAATAGTACCCTGACAAGAAATTAGTCTGATAACTGAAAGCTCTGACTCCCATTCTACTTTTAGAAACTCTAGGAACCACAAGTAAGCCTGCAGTCTGTGAGTGAAGTGCTCTATTAGGAAAATATGGAACAATACAATCTTTAATGTAAGATGAATACGATTTTGATGTTTTGATTTGTTCATCAGGTGTTCCGTAAAGTAGCATTCTGCATTGTGAGTGGAGACCAGAGCTCAGTGACCGTTACACCAGACAACCTGCAGGAGTACGTGGGTAAACCCATCTTCACAGTGGACCGCATGTATGATATCACCCCTCCAGGAGTGGTAATGGGCCTCGCATGGACAGCTCTGGGTGAGAGAGGTGTTCACAAAATCTCACAGATTTGAGAGTCCATAGGAAATGTCCCATCTGAAAGCCTGTGTCACCCACCGCAGGAGGCTCCACGTTGTTCATTGAAACGTCAATACGCCGACCTGTCGGAGAAAAGGAAGCTAAAGGAGAGGGTTCGCTGGAGGTTACAGGTCAGCCCGAGCACTTTCTGTTTGGGTTCATGTAACGTGTTAAGAAATGCTCTTAAAATCAGTTGCGTACAACTGATTATACGCAGGGAGCAGGTGGGTACAAAATGTTTTAATTTCCAGTTACAGCGATGCTCAACAGAACAGAGTGGATGAATTGCTGGTCACAGCACCAGAAGATTTGTTTCCACTACGTGACCTGGAGCACTTTCACCCTGGTCATTTCAGCCTCGTTGTGTCTTCACTACATTTGAGCTGCAGGGTAAACGGGGCAAACGACAGCCTCGGTTCTTTCAGGGGGAAATTTCTGATCAGAAATATTGAAGCCAGAATCTCACTGGGCTGCATCTGTTGGAGACTAGTGGACCAACACCATTCATGAAGGAGTCTCCAAAATGTTCTCCACTGCTCCTCCTGAATCCAAGGTTCGACAGTCCGTCAGAGCCTTCCTTCCAACACCCTGGGGTCAACTTTCCCAAGAAGTGAGTCTACTTTTTAAAAATGTGGACCACCACCCCAGTCCGCCACTTCACAAACATCCCAGTCCTTGATGTGACTCTAAAAAGACAAGTCAACCATTTCCAAAGCGTTCAGCATCTCAGGTCAAAACTCCTGGTCCGCTGGCACCAAGGAGCTTTATACAGTGCTCATGAAATGTATTCACCCCCTTAGATAATATAAGTAATGTCATAAATCAGTCATGATCAGTATAAATTGGCCTTTTTGACAACATATTAAATAAAATAAGTTTTCAGTGTCAAAGTGAAATCTAATTTCTACAGAGTAATACCAATTACTGGTAAATAAAGTAGTGTAAAATAAGTGACTGGATAAATTTTCACCCCCTCTAAAGGGGCTGATCTAATTCAACTCAGAGAAAAGATGATTGAAAATGAAAAGTCCATGTCGGGGGATGTAGATGAAAGGATGTCCAAGGACAGGAGTTCTGCTAAATCCGTCATCAAGAAACAGAAGAAATATGGGACAAGTGTAAATCTACCAAGAGCAGTTCATCCTCACAATGAGATCATGAAGTAGAATAGTGAGTCCATCAAGACACATGAGACAGCTCTGGAGGTACAAGCTTCAGTAGAGATGGAGAGACTGAGCATACAACGACTGTTGCCAGACTTCTTCACCAGTCTGAGTTTAATGGGAGACTGACGAAGAGGAAGGACACCGTTGACGAAAAGTCCGAATAAATCTTTACAAGAGAATGTCGGAACAATTTAGACAATCTAATGCCTCCCCCAGGCAAAGCTCCAGATGCTGCTCCAGTTTCCCCTAATCCTTTTTATTTATTTATTTTTACAATTTTTTTTAATCCAAGCTGAATGATATATTGCTACCAAAAATCAGAGCACACGTTTTTTAAATGATTTTTTATTTATTTATTTCCCAAAGCTGAGGGGGGAGTAGAGAATCAAGATTATGATGGAAATGAAAGAATAGCAGACATAGAAATAAAGGTGCTTTAATGTTTACACATAACCACTGTTGGTAACTGAGGTATAACTGATGCCACTGGTGTGTTTTGTCTCTTTGAGATTCTTCCTGAATGCTAACCCACATGTTGAATAATACTGAAGACGTTGCTGTCTCCTGTAGGACAACTTGGTGATGTTATGAAGGAAAGTGCAAAAATCGCTTCAACGTTTGCCAGAGTCTTCCTTCATAGTCAGGATCCAGAAAATAACTTCCTGGTCAACTCCCACCTCCATCTTCATGTTCCTGAGGTAACTGATGAAAATGTCCCGCAGCAACAAGACGTTGATTGCTCCTATGTTCATGCGTCTCGCTTGTTTAAATAATCACCATTACAGTTTTCATTCAAATGTTGTTTGTGCTTGAGGTTATAAATGTAAAACTTAAAGCTGTTTTGATAGTTTGAAATGATCCCAGTCCAGAAGATAATCTCTGTGGTTGGACTAAGAGAGTCTACCTCTCTGTTTCATTTTGTTTTTCCTCTTTCAGGGAGCAACTCCCAAGGACGGGCCGAGTGCCGGCTGCACCATCGTCACAGCTCTGTTGTCCCTGGCAACGAACCGCTCGGTGCGTCAGAACGTGGCCATGACCGGGGAGGTGTCGCTAACGGGCAAAGTCCTGCCGGTGGGAGGAATCAAGGAAAAAACTATCGCTGTGAGTGCAGCATGGAGCAGACATTACTGAGTAAACAAGAACTAACAGGACTCGTTTCATCAGGCAGGACATGTGAAGCGAACAACAGGGTCGTCAGAAGGCTGGCTTATTTCTTTATAAGTTCACGTTTTAGATGGAGACATTACTGATGCGATTATTAAACAGACATCACGTAAAAAGATTAAATTGCAGTTGAACAGTGAGCTTTTTCATTTAGTTAAAATTAAACATTAACAACTCAATTTTCCTCAGCTTTATCTACAGTAGTTTGCCCACAATGCAACACAATAGGCTGTAGATGACCAACATGTTCAGGTTTGTCTTACAGCCATTGTACTTCTCGTAGTTTGGTGCTCGGCAATAGGTTGGGCAAAAGGTCAGGGACAGGAATCTTAAGGCTTGGTGGACGTTAACTTAAGGGAAGCTCAGATTCGTGGGTTGAGGGAATTGAGACATTTTAGTGATTTGGAGGTACGTACATCTTGCCCATGACAAGTTCCATCTAGATCAGTGGTTCCCAACCTATTTTCCTCAAAGACCCCCTTCTTACTTCCTAGCCAGTCTGAGCCCCCCAATCCCTCACTACTCCCCTCTCCCAAAAAACTCATTCATATTAATCTCTTTATCAAAGTGATAAAATAATAAAGTAAATATTATAAGTAATAGTAGTTAAATATAGAATAAAGTAAATAAATAGTTAAAACTTTTATTTGTAAAAGGTATAAACTGGTAACAAAAAAAGTTGAATCATGTCATCTGGACTTCGTTTTTTTTTTGTTAAAAAGAAACGTTTCGCCCCTCATCCAAGAGGCTTCGTCAGTCTGAGGCCTAGCCATCTGGTATTACCCAGAAGCCACCCTGACTCTTGTGTTTCAAGCCTGCCTCAGATACCCCTGGGTGGCTTCTGGGTAATACCAGATGGCTAGGCCTCAGACTGACGAAGCCTCTTGGATGAGGGGCGAAACGTTTCTTTTTAACAAAAAAAAACGAAGTCCAGATGACATGATTCAACCTTTTTTGTTGTTATATACCTGGATGACTGAGAAAACAAACTTTGTGTATAAACTGGTAGTTGTACAACAGAAATAACAACTACAAGAACACTGTTTTGAGAATTACTCAAGTAACTTTTCTTTAAAAACTAATCTTAAAACAGTCTTAAAAAAAAATTAAAAAGTGTAATTTTGTCAAGATATCTTCCTGATCCTATCATGCAGCTGATTTATGCAATTTTCAGCTATTTTATCTATTCTGTCTTGGACACTTACAGTGCTGTTAGAGAGCGGGACAGTTTTCACGTTGTCCACTGCATGATCCCTGTCACACATCAACTCCACAACTTTCAGGCAGGCGGGTTTCAGAAGTTGTTCTCCATTATTGTGCAGATTTTTAGCCTTAGCGATTAAAAGTGAACACTCAAAAGATGCATCTGTGGCTCTGTGCAAATCACTACCTGCTCTTTCAAATGCTTTTCTGATGTCAGGGAACTTTTTTGACAGTGACAACTGCTTCTGAAAGTATTCCCAACTTTCACCGATGATAATAATAATAATAATAATAATAATAATAATAATAATAATAATAATAATGTCTGTTCTAAACTAGGGGAAAATGTCAGAAAAATGACTCCTCTGTGTGTTTTTACACATTTAAACATTCACAACTGCATGTGCTTACGTTTGTTATATATGTAATAAAACGTGAGCTTAACCAAGACCTCTTCACTACCTCTTCTCAACTGAGAGCTGACGTCATAACAAAGTACTCTAAAAGTGACAATACAGATTTTTCCTGATGCATGCTCAATAATCCAGGTAGAATACAGATTTTAGTTTTTAACATAATACGTTATAGAAAAATCTTCAACTATAAGGAGTGTTTAGGGTTTATGTGCATGCTCCGTGTTATGTTTCCCATTTGATGGGTTTTTGTGGTGTTACATCACCACATATAGGTCTGGCATTGTTACGATAAGGTTTTGGGTGGTATTCTGCGTTTACATGTGGATGAAAACATTTCTAGAAACAATGCCATGCTTACGAGTAGAGATGCACCGATCCGATATCAATATCGATATCAGTACCGATATATGAAAAACTTCTGGATCAGGTATCAGTGACAATGTGACCGATCCATTTTCCGATCCATGATGCATGTTGGCTTCAAACTATGGAATGGATTTCCTGAACGGAGGCGTGTCTCATGAGCCCAGAGTAATAAGACCCGCCTCACATTCAGGAAATCCAGTTCATAGTTTGCAACCAGCTACAACGTGAGGACTGAGTTAGCAGCACTGTGGCTAACAGCTAACAACCAACTTTTCATCGAAACATGTCCGCTGTGTGGAAGTATTTTACACTAGAAACACCACAAAACAAGACAGCAATGTGCAATGTCTGCAGAGCCATAGCGCCACATTAAACCGCGGTAAAGTTAGTTTTACGTTGGACATTTGAGCTCCGGGGCTTCAGCGTGGTGCTACTCTCGCTGAACCTGAAACAGGCAACTCGAGTCCGGCCAGCCGTGTCCAATCTGCCCCACTCAGTCTGCCCGTCTCTGAGGAGGAACAAACTGAGCACGGCTGACCAAAATCAGGCTGCTTGCTTCGGATTGAACAAGAAGAAGACGTGGCTGAAGCTCCGGAGCTCGAATGTTTACCGAGAGGTTGCTAAACTTCATTATAATTAATGACCAACTGTTATCAGTTGTAGAAAACGAAGGATTTCTCAGCTTGATTAAAGCTAGGAATAAAAAGAAACATGTTTTGTGTTAGCAGAATTTAATTCTAACTTTAAAACTTATCCAACATTAATAAGACTTACCTCAAGTTGACTTTTTGGACATGCATGCATATATTTGTACAAATTGTACTTGAGAGTAGATTATTACAGCCTCATATAAAATCAGTAATGATGATGAAATCAGAACTGAATCGGTATCGGACGATATTTAGATTTAGGTATCGGGATCAGATCGGAAGTAAAAAAAATGTGGATTGGTGCATCCCTACTTACAAGTACATAGAAACAACAAATAAAAACAAGATTGTTTTGAAAGAAAGATTGTTTCCATGTGGACAAATCCTCAGGAGCAGTTCTAGTAATGTTCCTACTCCATAGAACTGAATCTAAGTATTGTCTTTTTGGTTAGGCTCGTCGTGCCGGGGTCACCTGCATCATTCTTCCAGCTGAGAACAAGAAGGACTTCTCTGACCTGCCCGACTACATCACAGAGGGCCTCGAGGTCCACTTCGTGGATCACTACAACCAGATCTACCCCATTGTGTTCCCACAGGACCAGACTGAACTTTCATCTACTCCTCTATAAAGCAACCAGTGGAGAAGCCTTTCAGAACCTGGTTGATCTGGTCCAATGCTTTTTATTCTGACTGGTTTCCTGTATGGACCCTGAAGCGGCGCTGTGAAGTTTGGCACATTAAATATGTCGGGTTGATTCAGGAGTGGGATGATCACCCACACCCCCATATGACTCCAGCTACTGAAGGATCCAGAGTAAAGGACTAGATGAGAAAAGGGGTGGGGCTGTTACAGAAAGGGGTGGGTTCATTATAAGAAGAGGTGGGGTCACGAGGAAAAGAGGTGTGGCTATTGCAGGAAAAAGTAGATTTATTAAAGAAATGGGTGGGTCCTGAGGAGAATGGATGGGGCTATAAAAAGGGGTGGGTTTATTGAAAGAAGAGGTTGGGTCATGAGGAAAGTGGGTGTGGCTATTGCAGAAAGATGGGTTTATTAAAGATGGGTGGGTCATGAGGCGAAGGGGTGGGTTCTGGAGGAGAAGGGGTGGGGTCATTAGATGAAGGGGTAGGGAGATGGAGGGATGAAGGAGAGTGGACCAACAATCAGCAGTGCCAAAGACACTTACTATTTGCTCGTGACCACAGGAAATGATGTCACTGATGATTTGAGTGTTGCTGCCAGGCGGCATGTGTCCCAAACATCTGTGGATTCTTTCATAAACTGTTTTATATTAAACCTATTGTTAAGGTTATATTATTAGAATAAAATATCTGAAGTAACTCAAATCTGTTGATTTGATTTTAAAAGCTGTGAATTGTTGTTAATAATCTGCCTTCGACAGGTGAAGGCGGGCGATAATGTTTTTGCACATGTCTGTGTTTTGCTCTGTCTGATAGCAAACATCCCATGAGCCAACCACTGGATGGATTTTAATGAAACTTGCAGGAAATATTTATTGGTTGTTCCTCAAAAACTGATTCATTTTGAAAGTCTGCCCCAATCAAGATGGTTGCCAAAGTTAACTGATCTTATAAAACACAAAAAGGGTCAGAATTCTGTCAGCTTTACAAGTTCTGTAATAAAATGTGCTGTAGCTGTAAGAGAACTGGCAACAAATTGACATCTCACAGCATCCCAGTGATTGGTCATAATGTTTTCAAGGTTTGATCAAAACAGCTAAAACTAAATCATTTCAGTTAAACTCTTTGGCATGGAAGGAGGCAGGTGATAAACAGCCATAGACTTTGGTACACATGTGTTTTGTGTACCTGGTGAAGGCTTGTGACACACGGTGGGGGGTGCTGCAGGAGGATGGAGGGCCAGAGTTACTTTAATCCAGTCCCTGTAGAACCAAAGAGCTGTGCTTGGTGCGGGTTGGACTCCTCCAGGATTGTCCCTCGTCTCTGATCCTGTTTGTGGTCTTCATGGTCAGGATCTCCAGGTACAGCCATGTGAGAGGACAGAGTCTGGTTTGGGAACTTCAGGGACTCATTTATGTGGATGATGGAGTTCTGTTTGTTCCCCTCCCTTAGTTGTTATAAGTAAGTTTATGTCTCAGGTTTGTGTTTCTGGGTCTGAACTTCCTGAAACAACTTTTTAAATAATAGATGTTTAAAAAAAATTCAAATGCAAAGACTGCGGCTCACTTTACCTCAGTATGCAAAGATGAGTCCAGCGTTTTCTGCTCTTTACTTAAATAAACATAATAATAAAAAAAAATCAAAATACTTTTTTCCTAACAACAAAAAACGATATCAGGAAAGGTGATGTGGGCTACCATCAGAGTCCGAACCAGTCTGTGAAGATCAAATTAATTCAAATCAAAGTTTCCTTGAATAAATCTCTAACTGGTTATTGTGAATGTTTCTGTTCAGCGCGCAGAGATAACTTCTGTTGTGACTCGGCGCTGGATAAATCAACTGAGTTGAATTGTAGTTAATTAAAAACGTCATTAATTCCAGCTGTTTAGTTTCTCGTGATAAACGGAACCTGCTGCTGCTGAGCTGAACCGAACCGAACCTCGGACGTGATGCGGGATTCGCTCACATGGACGGCTCGCAGCTGATTGGTCCTCCGGAGCTGCGGCGGCGCGTCTCATTGGCTGAGACACGACTCAACCGAGACCGCCTGTCCTGTTCGGTTCCGACCCGATCCCCCAGTCCTGGACCCGTGTTCTGCTGCGGGATGTGCATGTTCTGAACGCGGTTCTGATCCGATGGACTGAGGCTCCGCGCGGACCCGTGACTGCATTAACTCTTCTGGTCTGCGTGAGCAGGTGAGGACAATAGGACGTCCACTGTGTCCACCGTCTGCGCTCTCCTGTCCCTATCAGGACAGGAGGCGATGTTATCAATCCTGCTGGACCCGAATTTTCCTGTACCTGAACCCTGGAGGATTCCTGCCGCGTGCGCGCGGTCTATGAAAGGGTTGATGACGTCAGAGCTCGGACAGATGCGTGAACATCTGCAGGATAGTGCTGATGCTGTAAAGGAAAGGCCTTCATCCCTCCTCTGCCTCCCAGCATCAGCGTCTCCATGGTGATAGAGCAACAGCGGCAGGAATGCATGTCACCCGCCTCCGACGACTGACTGGTCCAATCCAGGTTCTGAACAGAACAAACCCAGTCCACATCAGACATCCAGAAAGGCTCTGCAATGGGGGCTCTGGGGCCATGGTCTTTGTGGGTTTTAGCCCAAGGGGAAACATGATGTCTATATCCAGAACCACGTGATAAAGAGTCTGTTTCGGCTGGTTTCCAGATCTTGGCTCTGGGTTTCGGCTGGTTTCCAGATTTCGGCTCTGGGTTTCAGCTGGTTTCTAGGTCTCAGCTCTTGTGTCTTGCTTTCTGGGTTTCAAACGGTTTGGCTGGTTTCTGAGTTTGGGCTGGTTAATTCCATATTTTGAATGATTTCTGGGTTTCGGCTGGTTCTGGTTTCTAAAATTTTGTCTGGTTTCTATGTTTCAGCTAGTTTCTGTGTTTCTGCTGGTTTCCATGTTTTGGCTCGTTTCTGGGTTTAGGCCGACTGCACTCTTCTGGACAGAGCTCTCTGAGGTTGTTCCTGTTGAAGCCACTTTTTCATTTCGGGGGTCACAGCACCAAGTGCTCCATTGACACTGGGACTGCCTTGACTCTCCACAACTTCTGTATCTCATCTTTCAGTCCTTGGTATTTTTCCAGCTGCTGCTTCTTCCTGATGGTACTTGGGATTGCTACATCGTCACCACTGCCTTCTTCTCGCTTGTCAGTCTGCTTCTAGAAGTCCAACACTATCTTAGCCCTGTCATTCTCCATCACCCTTGGTGCCTTCTCCCACTGTGGGACTCCCAGTCCATACTCAGCACAAATGTTACCTGTACACTATTCCAGATGTCACTGTACTCTATTCCAGATGTTCCTGTACACCATTCCAGATGTTCCATTTTATTCCTGATGTTTCTGTGCTCCATTGTTGTTCCTGTTCACTAGTCCAGATGTTCCTGTACATTTGTTCAGATGTTCACATATTCCAGATGTTCATGTACTCTAGTTCAAATGTTCCTAAACTCTACTCCAGATGTTCCTGTATTCTATTTCAGATGTTCCTGTAAACTTTTCCAGATACTCCTGCACACTAGTCGAGATGTTCCTGTACACTGCAGCCACTGGTTTATGGTGTTTCATGTATGCTTTGCCTGTCTGGGTCTTACCTGCATCAGTGTCTCCTTGGTGATAGACCATCAGCGCCAGAAATGCATGTCACCCGCCTCCGATGACTGACAAGGTCCAATCCTGCGTTGCGTCTTGGGTCTTGTCTATTATGGTCAGTGGTGGACAAAGTACTCAATTCTAGTACTTAAGTAAAAGTATTGATACTCATGGTCAAATTTTACTCAACTGCAAGTAAAAGTTGCTCAGTCAAAAGTTTACGCAAGTTAACGTACTGACGTACTTACTTTTGAAAATACTTAAGTATTCAAAAGTACATGCATTTAAAAAATACTCAAGTATTTAAAAGTACAAATTATATTTTCTAATTTCAGTACATTGCTGTATTGTTTTGAGTGATTTTAAAGAACGTTGTAACTTTCTACAACCACCTGATGATGTATTGACATGTAGAACCACTCTAACACCACATGCCTTAATAAAACCTGTAAACTACAAATAATATCTTTGCCCTGCATTTCACATGTTTGTGGAACGTCAAGGAAATCCTAACAGATGATGCACATTTAGTCTTTTCCTTAGCTTCAGTATTCATACACTGCATTGTTCGTCTGTAAAAGTGCATTTATTGACAACAGCAACTTAACACAGGAGAGGAAACAGTAACACTGATAACTGAAAGTTCTGCCGTACTTAACATAGAAGCTTTCAAAACAATGACTGTTCTGCACAGATGACTCTAGCATAATACCTGATTCAACAACTGGACAACTGCACTTCAGGAAAGAAAAACAGCAACAACTGATTACAAAGCTGAGCCAAAAGGAACAAGTAACAAGAAAATTCCTAGAAATGTAATGGTGTCAAAATTATAATATTTGTCTTTGAAATGTAGTGGAGTGAAAGTCATAAGTTCCCAAAATCACAAATAATCAAGTAAAGATACAAAGAAAATTTACTTAAGAACAGTACTCAAGTAAATGTGCTTTGTTACTGTCCACCACTGGTTTTGGTAGACACCGACCTCTATTGCTCTTGTGCTGAGGGCATGTTGTTGTGGTGCCATGATTAGTGCCTCTGTCCTGTCCTTCAGTCCAGCCCTCTCTAACAACTGGTAGGATTTGTTGATATCAGCCACTTCATCAGTCTAATGGTGGTACATGCCATGCAGGGGTTTATCTTTCCATGATGGTTCCTCTTGTTCCACCTCTTCCATATTGAGGTTCTGATGCTGCCTGAGACATTCACTCATCACTTCATCATTGGGGGCTTTCCTCCTGATGTAATCCAGAATCTTAGTTATTTCATCCAGTATGGTGGCTCGGATGCTCACTCCCCCTCTGCCTCTGTTAGTGTACAGTCTCAGGGTGCTGGACTTGGAGTGAAACCCTCCATGCGTTGTGAGGAGCCTTTGAGTCTTGATGTCAGTGGTTTCTATCTTCTCCTTTGGCCTGGCTATAATACCAGTTGGGTATCTGATGACTAGCGCTGCATATGTGTTGATGGTTCAGACTTTGTTCTTGCCATTCAGCTGGATCTTCAGGACCTGCCTTACTCTCTGTAGGTACATGGTTTGGGCTGACTTCCTTGTGACCTTATGGTTGTCATTTACCTGTTGGATTCCAATGTATTTGAAGCTGGCCTGGACATCTGTAGTGTTGCCTTCAGGTGGGTCAACCCCTTCAGTTATGATCACTTTGCCTCTTGCATACAATTTGACTGCATTTATCCAGTTTGAATGACATTCCAGTGTTCTTGCTGTATATCCTGATGAGGTAAGTCAGTGAGTCAATGTCTCGCTCATTTTTGTCATACAGCTTGATGGCAACGATGTAGAGGAGGTGGCTGATGATCGTTGCACTTTGAAGCCGGTATCCATCGCCACTCTTTGCAATGATCTAGCTGAGGGGGTTCAGTCCTATGCAGTACAGGAGTGGGGACAGTGCATCACATTTGATGCTGACTTGTGCAAATGGCTTTGAATTGGCCTCTAGAGTTGTCTTTGACATTCTCGTTGAGCTCTTGGTGGAGGCACTTATGTGTCCTGTTGATGTTTTAAGTTTTAAGCACTCTAGTATCCATGTGTTTGTGTATGTGAGAGAGTATGTGTGTGTTTGTATGTATATATATATATATATATATATATATATATATACACACATACAGGTGTATCTAAAAAAAATAATATTGTGAAAGAGTTCAATATTTTTTGTCAGTCATTTCAGAAAGTGAAACTCGTATATTTTAAAGATTCATTACACGCAGAGTGAAATATTTCCAGCCTTTATTTCTTGATGATTATGGCTTGCAAATAACAAAAACCTAAAAAAAAACTTTATTTTCATGTGAAATGGGAACATTGGACCACTGAGCAACAGTCCAGTTCTTTGTCTCCTCAGCAGGTAAGACTCTTCTGATGTTGACTCAGGAGTGACTGGACTTGAGGAATGAGACATTTGTAGCTCATGTCTAGGAGTTCATCAGCTGATTAGTGTGTGACACCAGGAGTGTCAAATATTAATCAATCTTAAGTACAATAAACTCTCTAATGTTTCTGTCTGCACTTGACCTGTTTAGAACTTAATTGTTGGTATTTTTTATATTCTCTGTTATTTTTTATATCTTGTGTCATTCCTTATGTATGTTCCTAGTTTGTACTGAAACACAACAATTTCCTTCGGGATTAGTCAAGTTCTATCTTATCTTATCCCTAAATCCTTTTCCTAATCAAACTTTCTGAGACACTGAATTTAGTTTTTATTCTTCATTATTTGTAAGCCATAATCATCAAAATTACAAGAAATAAAGGCTTCAGATATTTCACTCTGTGTGTAATGAATATGTGTAATATACGAGTTTCACTTTCTGAAGTGATTGACAAAAAAAATTGAACTTTTTCATGATATTTTAATATTTTGAGATGCACATGTCTCCATACATTTGTGCCCACATGGATATATCTGTTAATTGTCTTACTTGGAAAATCAACAGTATAAAATTTGGATAAAAAACAAGTTTATATGTAACCCACTGAACCTGAAGTGTCTGTCATCAGAAGTGACTGCAGGCACTATATAGCATACATTGAGTAGATGCAACCAACTTGTTTTTACCATCTTGTGACCCACAGACACAATGAATTACTTAACTGTGTCAGCAACATTCAAATTTTATAACAATGAGCAAGTGGTACTGACCCTAATAAATTGTGTTTTCTGTGCCTACGTGTTAGTACACTATAATGCTTTCTGACTTGATTCTTGATGTAAAAATGTAAGAGTAAGAATAGAATAGAAACATCCTTTATTGTCCCACAGATGGGAAATTCAAGTGTAACAGCAGCAACAGATAAAAAGATAAAAAAGATTTCACACAAAAGTTCCTAAATGTTAATAAACAATGCAATATATAAAGAAATAAGATAAACAATATCAATAATAATGTTCAATATGTATTGGAACTTTGATAAGGACAGACTATTTACAATATAGTAGTATAGGCTGAGTGTGTGTTTTAGCAGAGGTCAGCATGTATTTAATCCTTATTGAGTCTGTTGGTAGTAAACTGGTAGTTCTACATATTTACTTATGTTTCTGAAAGATAAACATTTACAATAGTGTGCAGTTTAAAGCTTTAGCACAGATACATTTGGATTTAAGAACTATTTCCTGACAGCATACACAATAATTAATCTGTTTAATAATTGTATTTGTTATTTATGGGCTGCAGCCATTCTGGCAGGAGCTAAGAATGCCCACCGTAACGTATGTTCTGCTTTTCAGTATAGTGGCACACATTCTTGTCTTGTTGGCATGGACAGTGCAGGCATCCGTCTTTCCAGTGCTTCCCTCATTCAGTAACTGAGAACACATCTCAGAAAATCTGACCATGTCACATGACATCTTGCACAATGCCATTTACAACATTTCACCAAAACGTGTGAAACTTTGTTGCAAATGGCAGTCAGGTTGCAAATGGTCAGGTCTCTCTTGTAAATGAGTCCTCGTGGCTCAATGGGACTAATCTGTATAAATAAAGGTTGAATGAAAAATTGAGCTGATCATGTGCCCTTCATGTTTCTTCTTCCTCAGTTCTGCCTCTCAATGTTATGGCTGTGTTGTTGGTGCTTCTTCTCTCCGTTCTGCTCTCGTCCCCTCACACTCCTGTCCGAGCGTCTCCGTCCTGTCCCCCAGCCTGTCGCTGCTACAGCCTCACCGTGGAGTGTGGATCCACTGACCTGAAGGACGTTCCCAAGCATGTTCCTCCATCCACTCAGGCAAGCTCACTGCTCTCAAACCTTTCACACAATGTATTACATTTGTTTTTGTCTATAAATGAACAAACAGCTTCATTTTCTTGTTTCTACCTCTTCAGACTATCTTTCTCCAGGACAATGTGATTAATCAGGTTCGACAACTGGACCTCATCGGACTGAAGCACCTGCACTACCTGTACCTGCAGGTAACAAGCATGCTTGCTTTCTTAATTTTTTCTGCTATTAACACAGCAGGAACAAAAGTGACAGAAAGAGCAAAATGTGTTCTCACAGTCAGCTCTGGGTCTAAATGAATGAAGTACAAATGCATGCCTATGAACTGTTTCAGAATGGAAACAACACACCGTCATTGGCCCTCTTTCATTTTCAACAAACTCCACCTGAAACTTCCTGTCTGGTGACGATCCAACTCTCAGTGCAACACTTAATAGCAACTGAGATGCTTGTTTTCATCCTTAGCACAGATCTGCATGAATTGCTTTTAATTAGCAACAGTTTATGGGTAAAATTAATATTTTCATAATCAGAAATACCAAATGATTAAAATCCATTTAATTACTTTAAAGGAAATATTTGAAATATAAAATCACAAGTTAGTCTATCATAATGTATTGTAGACAACTGTGTAAAGAAACATTAAAAACAGATGTTTGGAGTACCTCAAGTTATTGTTATCTTTTTGCTACAAACAGCTAACTAGGACATCCCAGTCCCTCCCTCCTTAAAAAAATAATTTAAGGAACCAAACCTTGCTTAAGATATGTGACAAATAGATCTCCAGTTGTCAGCTGTTAATTGCCTGTGTAAAATATTTTGCCTTTAGCCCGACCCCAGTGTTTAGTAAAGATAATATCCCAAATTGAAAAGTAAATTAAAGGGCAATCTGTTTGGGAATCCAGGCCACAGCTTTGAACTGGAGCAAAGCAGATGCTTTAAGAGAGAAATACAAGTGTTAATCTGCTAAACAGTTCTAGAAACATGAACAAAAAAAACAATTAACTTTCTTTTTTCCCATGTCCCTTCTCCAGAACAACACAATCATAAGTGTAGAACCAGGTTCTTTTCGGGATCAAGGTCAGTTGTTGGAGCTCGCACTAAATGGGAACCAAATCCACCTGGTGACCTTGGACATGTTTCAGGGGCTTGACCAACTACGCATCCTGTACCTGTCAAGAAACTTCATCACACGCCTGCTGGATTACACCTTCAGTGGTTTACAAGTAAATGATCTGAAAAAACACAAATGATAAAACATTTATTCAATATTTATCATTATTTTTATAAGTTAAACAGAAAGATAGGTATCAATACATAAAACAGCCTTCATGAGATTTTCCAGAAACATACTAGATACATACAAGGTACATACCAGATAGAACCCAGGAACATAATAGGAACATACCAGGGACATAGCAGGTACATACCAAGAAAAAAAAAACAGGAACACCACAGGAACATATTATGGATATACTAGGAATGTACCAGGTACATACTACAGACATACCAGGAACATAACAAGAACATACCAGAAAAATACCAGACATGAGCCATGAACATACCAGGTAAATACCAGCAATGTACAAGATACATACCAGGTATATACCAGATACATTCCAGGTACATACCAAGTACATACAATATACTTACCAGGAACATACCAAGAACCTACCAGAAAAACAAAAAAACAAATACGAACCATGAACACACCAGGTAATTACTAGCAGTGTACAAGATACATACCAGGTACATACCAGATACATACATACCACAAACATAACATTTACGTAGGCACTTTCAAGTTATGAATTGGGTATTTACCAGGGATGTACTGGATACTTACACAGTACATACTGTGTATGCACCAGGATTGTAACATACCAGGAACTTACCAAGTTTTTATGAGTAACATAACAGGTACTTACAAGGTATGTATGTAATGGGCACCTGTCAGGTATATACTGGGTACTTACCAGGATTGTACTGGGTATTTACCAAGATTGTACTGGGTACTTACCAGGAACATACCTGGTATTTACCAAAAATGTATATAATACATACCAGTAACATACTAGATATCTATCAGGAACTTACCAAATATTTACCAGGATCGTAATGGGTACTTACAGGAAAGTACCAGCTACTTAACAGGAACATTTTGGGTGCTTACAAGGTGCATACCAAGTACTGATCAGAAACATAGCTGGTACCTCCTGGGTACGTACCAGGAACAAACTTGGTACTTAACAAGAATGTACTGAATACTTACCAAGTATGTACTGAATACTTAACATTAACATACCAGGTACATACATGATACCTAATGGGTACTCACAGCCTATGTATACATGTTATGCAACATTTTAGTACCAGTAATGTATCCATAAGTACCTGACACCAATTTTACCATACCCAGTTGTAGTTATACATCTAATAATTACTTTCTGAAGTCATCCAGTAGTTTAAGAGATATTTTGCTAACAGATAGACAAAGAGACAAACAACAGATTTGAGACATTTTCAATTTCTTGTTTAGCTCATAGAACATGATGAGTGATGTGTGCTGATCTCTGCAGCGTCTGCAGGAGCTCCATCTGCAGCAGAACAGTATAGAGATGATAGCAGAGCATGCACTGGCTGGTCTGACCTCTCTGGCTCTGCTGGACCTGAGCAGGAATAATCTTCACACCATTGGTCCAACATCACTTCAGCCTCTGGTTAGCCTGCAGATTCTGCGCATCACAGGTTAGACTGGACTTCTGATCATCACAGCCATGGACTTCCCTCTTTTAGATGAGACTGCCATTGTTATAGCTGCTAATGATTATGATGAAAACAAGAAAAGAAGCCAAACCAGTTTCCGTTCTTGACTTTTTGGGCACTACTGAACCCTGTCTTGGTTCTGTGTGTTCTGCTGTAGATAACCCATGGCGCTGTGACTGTGCTCTTCACTGGCTGAGGAGCTGGATCGATGAGGAGGGCCAGAGGCTGCTCAGCTCGGCAGAACGCCGATTGGTCTGCACCGAGCCCCCACGCCTTTCCCATCTTAGCCTGGTGGAGGTCCCACTCAACAGCCTAGTGTGCATTCCCCCCCTGGTTCAGCTGGAGCCCAGGAGGCTGGCAGTACATCTTGGGGAGAGCCTCAGGGTGTCGTGCCATGCTTCTGGCTACCCTCGGCCACAGGTAGGACACAATTACGAGGACACACCACCCTACAGAAAATTATTAATTATTTTCAGATTAGATTCTAGCTTTCCTATTTTGTCACACTTGCACGTTTCAGTTCATCAATCGAACATTATTCAGCAGACAAAATATAACCAGGCTAAATACAAACAGCAATTTTTAAACAAGGATTTAATATTCTAAAGGATGGAAGCTATCCAAGCTAACATGGTCTTGTGTAAAAAAGTAATTGCCCCACTAAACCAAATAACTCGTTGTTCTCCCCCAACCCCCCTACACCCATGGCTGCAACATCTGCAGTCAAGCATTTTTGATAACTGATGAGTTTTTTACATGACTGTGGACAGCTGTTGCTGCTGTGATGTGGCTCATTGTTCTGCTGCAGAAGTTCACAAACTGATGGATGAACATTCTCCTTTTGAAATGTCTGTTGTAGAGCAGAATTCATGGTTCCATCAATTTGTCCAAGGCCTGAAACTGCAAAGCAGCCCCACACCATCACACTACCACCACCGTGTTTGATTGTTGGTCTTCTGAAAGGCAATGTTAGGTTTAGATGTTCGTAATGGAATCATTTTATTGGGAAGGTTCATCACTGTCACATACTTTCTCAATTTGTGGATTCCAGCTCTATTGTATCGTTTCTTGATCCTACAAGTGTGACAGTAATCAGTCCTGGCTGTGGCTGGTGAAACTGGACTCAGAATTACAAAAATATCAGTTTATTCAAGATTTACCTAAGGGGACTAGTAGATTTTCACACGGCCAATTTCATTTGAACAACCGTTATCTCTTAATTAATGAAACCATTGTTTAAGAACTGAACTCTGTATTTACTCAGGTTATATTTGTCTGATATCAATGTTTGTTTGATGAGCTGAAACATTTACAGTAGGTGTGACAAAACATAAAAAAACATGTGGGGAGTGGTGGCACAGAGGCTAGAGAAGATGGGCCTGTGATCGGAAAGTCGCAGGTTCAATTCTCCAGACTGACAACATCAAAATGTGGGAGGAAAAGGTGAAACACCCACACCTGCCTCCACTCCATCCTCATTTGCCCCGCTCTGAAGTCCGAGTCCTTCAACCCCCATCATCTGCTCCGAAACAGGTCTCTCGTGAAAATGAGTTCTTGTGACTGAATGAGACTACCTGTATAAATAAAGGGTAGATGAAAAATAGTGTGGGGGCTGAATGCTTTTTCAGTCTTGCTTCCAAGAGTTTATTCAGGTTGTTGCTTCAGTGTTAAGATCAGTTCGGATTTCATCACAACAGTGTTTCAGATATTTTAAGTTGATGTCTAATAACCCTGATCTTTCAGACCCCAGTGGAAACTCAATGAACTAGAGGTCTGAAGTAGATGATAGTCTGTATATGGAAAGTTGTTCGTCCTTACAGGATCAGTAGGCATAAAACAAAATCTCTTTGCAGGTGACCTGGAGGAAAGCATCCCAAGGTAAAGTGGTGGACTCTCCCAGAGGTCTGGTTCAAGATCTGGGTACTGGAGGAAGTGAAGGCTCAAAGGAGTCCTCAGAGGAAGGCAAAGTTAGCCTGCAGAAGACTGCTGGCGAGCACTTTGACCCCGACACTGGCAGCGGCATGCTGTTTCTCAGCAATGTGACGGTGGCTCACGCAGGTTTTTATGAGTGTGAAGCCTGGAACGCAGGAGGCGTTGCCAGACTGACCTTTCAACTTGCCATCAACTCATCCTCCTTGTCTTCCTCTTCAATTTGGGCCACGTGGTCTCAAGTATCATCACCATATTCCCCCGCTTGGCCTCGACTGAAGAACCACGGTCTTGCTTTGGGCTCCGACGTGAGCCGGGAGCCTCTGTACGCCCTGGGCAGCATGGCCTTCAACGCTCTGGGAGCCGCAACTCAGACAGCCATTTCTCTGGGCATCTCCCTGCTGGCTTTGACCTCTCTGCTACTGGTTGCCATGATTTACAGTCGTCATCAGCAGTGCGACAAGGAGCCCGATGGGGCTGAAAAGGTGTATATTGGTCAGCAACAAAATAAAACAGCAAATTAAGAAGCTAACAGCAAAACTGTACCACCTGATAATTAATAGGAGCATTAAGGGCAGGGAATGTTTCAGGGCAACAACGACTTGGATATACATATAAAAATGCTGCTGTCACTAGACACAATAAAAAAAAAATAGTTGCATCAGGAAAAAAAAAACTTGAAAAATTATTTTAATCAAACTCTGAAAGCTTTAAGGTAATTTGAGCCCTTTACCCCCATTTGGTTAGTTGGTTAAACAAATACCTTTGTTATATTTTTAAAATGGGGATGGGCATCACTGACTTGGACTGAACACCCTTTAAAATATTTCTGTAAATATAATGTCAGGACGTTTTATTTAGTGCAAGCAATAAGCACACTGTCAGAACAGCAGTGAAAAGTAGAAAGGTTGTGCAGAAATGTTGCAGCTTCTGCCTCAAACTCCAACATAACTTCAATTTTCTGAGCTCAGATGTCAGGACTGTAGAATTAAATCAAAAACTCAGATCTAAAGAAATGTTAAAGCTGCTGCCAGTGGCCCATCACGGTCACCATGGTTACCACGCAACTGTGTTTGTCACTCCCTGACTGCCATGTTAATGAAAGGCAGACAAAAAAAATAGTCTTGGACAAACACATGCTGTGTGAAAACTACAAGTCCAATCTTAAAAGGTATTGCCAATGAGCAGCAGAGGACTCTGATGGTCCCTTGTGTTTTTAAAAATGTTTTATGCAGAAGATATTACCAGTTCAAAAAACATTTCATTTCCAGTTTTGAAGAGAAAATTTAGATCTCAAGTATGACAGAATGTTTGCGCTCTCTGCTTCCTGCTGAGATTTGAGAGGAAATTAAAGGTCTTACTGTGAGAGACACACTGAGTGAAAGGAGATAAAAAATACTTACATTCGGATGTTCGTTTCTTGCAGTGGTTAGTTAATGTTTTCAATGTTGTGCGATATACTGCTAGCTAATGTCATACCACACTATTCTTCATCAAGCCACACCTTTTGTACATTTTGTTTCAAAGCCACACAACAATATACAGGATAAAACATTTAGCAAGATAGGAGTCAGGGTTGGGTGGCATGGTGGTGCATTTGGTGGAGCTGCCATCTCACAGAGAGAAGGTTGCTGGATCAAATCCCGGCCAGGGGGGCATTCTGGGTGGAGTTTGCATGCTTTCTGTGCATGCGTGGGTTTCCTCCGGGTACTCCGGTTTCTTCCCACAGACCAAACACATGCATGTTAGACTGATTGGTAACTCTAAATTGTCCCTAGGTGAGTGAGAGAGTGAATGGTTGTTTGTCTCTGTGTCCCTGTGATGGACTGGAGACCTGTCCAGGGTGTACCCCACCTCTCGCACAGTGAGAGCTGGATATGGGCACCAGTGACTCCTGTGATCCTAAAAGGCAGAAGTGGGTAAAAAATAATGGCTGGATGGATAGATGGATGGATCAGGGTTATGCATTGGCACTCAGAAACATCAGGGGGTGTTTCATTTGCATTCAGTTGCAAGAATCAAGTCTACTAAATAACTTTTTTCTTTTCTTGAATGTGTACCAAAGATGTCAGGATGCTGACTGATCACCAGTCTATCACCGTGCCAACACAGAGACAGACAACCGTGTGCACACAAACAAACGTCCAATTAGAGTACCATTTAACCTGATGTGCATGTTTGTGGATTGTGAAAGCTAGAATACCTGGAGAAAACTCAGGGATGCATAGAGAGACCACAGAGTCCACACAGAAAGGCTTGAGCAGTCAGGATTCAAATGGGAGATCTTCCTGTTGTAAGGCATCAATGTTAACTACTGCATACAGTACAGCTAAGAGTTTAGCCATGCCCACTTTAAAAAAAATTTTATATCATGCTCAGGGTCACTGGGAGCTGAAGTTTAAAAACCTTGTCACACTTTGCACATTTCTCATATACTGTATTTCATATATTATCAAACTAGACCAAATGTCTTCTCTGGTTGTTGGGAGTTGAAGGCAGCAGGACCTGGGTTACAGAAACAAATGGCATGTTGGATCTTTGGAACCAGAGTCACATCAGAGATGTGAGGCTTTAAGCCCCAACAACTCCCCGAGGACAATCATGGCGACAAAAGAGCTTTCTTCTAGGCATGATTTAACTAAGTGCTGCTAAACTGGTTAGAAAAATGAACATTTGATGAAACAGCAGCAAGATATGAACCATGAACATCAAGAATCATTCAGTTTATTGATATGGCTTCAAGTTACAACAAACATCTCAGTACAAAGAAAAGAAAGCAAGGGGATCCTATGGTCTAGGTGTAGTTTATATGGTCCAGGTGTAGTTTCAGTGGTTCAGGTATAATTTCCATGGTTCAGGTATAGTTTACATGGTCCAGGTATAATTTGTATGGTTCAGGGGTAGCTTGTATGGTTCAGGTGTAGTTTCCATGGTCCAGGTATAATTTATACAGTTCAGGTGTAGCTTCTATGTTCCAGTTGTAGTTTCCATGGTTCAGGTGTAGCTT